AGTTCCACAGTTGGCAATATTGTATTTACGTTAGGTCCGGTACTTTCGCAGCCTATTCAATTGGAACAAACAAACATATGAACAAACAAAAAGTCTAATCTTTCCTGTTTATACTATTAGTGTAGATAAAGATCTATAACCAATAAACGATATCAAGACGTTTAACTATTATATTTTGTTTCTTTTTCGATAAAAACTAAACAGTACCTATTTGAACAGTTGTGAAAGGTAAAAATACTATTTACCCTAATCACTTAGTTTACTAAACTGTGATAACAAATCCTGTTCATTGCTTTCATTTTAGCATTTTAGGGAATGAGATTTAAAGTTGACATAACGTTTTTTCTTACATATTTATTTTTTACTTTACAAATAATACAAACATAAAATGCTGATGACACACGAAGTTCCGTGATTCGTGTGTAGACTTGACGAAGTTTTAGTAACATAGAAATGCGGATTATGTAAATGTGGTTGATATTGAAAGAAGAAATATGCATTTAGAATAAAACATTTATTTATCAGCTAAATTAAATAAGATTATAACGGAGTTAACATATGTTGATCTTCAGCCTCATCAGGCCACTGAAAGTTGTTCATCTCACTGGGAACAATTGGAGCTGGCAGCTCCGGTAGTGGAAGAAGTGGTTCTATTCGGGCAGGAGCTTGGACTGCGGCTTGGTAGGGTTGTGCGGGGATATTGCTCGGAGGAATAACGGACTGAGTACCATAGATGCACTGAGAATATTGAGGTAGTTGTGGTATCAAATTTGGTGACATTGGCGTAGTTATTTCTGAGTAACTCGGGGCAATGCCCGGGTAGTGCATTATTGGCACCTCATTATTTTCAGGACTGTCACCAGAAGAGCTTTGGCTCTCTGCCCTGTCTTTCTTTTCTTTCATTCGCCGATTCTGAAACCAAATTTTGATGGTTCTCTCATTTAGGTGCAACACGTCTGCTAACTGCAGACGTCTATGTCTAGCCAAAAAAGGAGTCAACTTAAACTCATGTTCTAGCGCCAACAGTTGATCCGTTGTAAACGCTGTTCTAACGCGTTTAGGCTTCCTATAGGCGGCTGGTAGACCCTGGGGTCTCACTGCTGACCATCCGATCGGCTGTCCGTTGTGCCAGATGTGCTGATTTGGCGCAGTCACTGGGACTGACACAGCTGCACTCTGATGTGGCAACCATTGTGAGAACTGTGGACAATAAAAAATATATATATCAATAACAAACCATTACTTTCAAAATAGTTTCTTTGAGGAAACTAATGTATTATAAGATCATGCTCATCATACTAGCATTAACTACGTTTGTTACGATTTGACTCTTATTCAGAAATCGTATGAAACAAATTAAAGAACAAATTAAAATAAAAAGTGATTATATTACCATTGGATCTGCCGGCACCGGTGCGAAACCGTTATTTGCATTATGAAACGCTGGTGTTCCATGTGGTGAGTTCATCTCGTGATAAATATTGACTGGTAAGGAAATGCACTGGACGAGAGTAACGTGTTCTGTGAAAGTACAGTTCACTATGATGCCACTCAGGATTGTGCTCTACTTATATTCGCAACCCTTAATGATAGTGTAATTAGGGAACAGGTTAAAGGTTACTAAGTGATTAGCACACTCCAATCCATATTAAAATAGATTTTATTGTTATTTAATGTTTTAATTATTATTTCGTATTATGAAATATTTTAATGAGTTCCAATAATTTCAGTTCTTTTTCCAGTGGCTTAGGTAGATTGACGGCATGATACAATTCGAAACTATAAGATTTATCAATCTTATATCAATCAGACCAATATCGAACAATAGAAAATGATTTTTATCGCTACTCTAGGATAATCATATTCTATTTGCATGAACACACCAGTTGTGTTTTAAATTACATCGTCTCAAAATAAATAATGTATCTACTCGTCTGTCGGTTACTTCCCGGTGACAATATACGTGAGCTTTCTTTAGGGTGCTATAATAGGTAGTTCTGAGGTTTTCCGACATTTCGTTTATGCGGCCGATTCTATAGGAATGAGTGAATCCATATTTTGAAAATACTTTTATACTAGATAATTGACATTACCAGTCATCAGTTTATGTCATTAATTAAGTGAGTAGTCCCTATCTTTAAAAATCGCTGTTCGTAAGTTAAAACCGTTTCTTTTCAATTATTATACTTAGTACTTATGCATTTTCTTATTATAAAATGCTGTATAATATAATGTAAAATATTTTATTAACAGCTTTCTTTAACGTATTCAAAATATTGGGTCCTATACGGAAACCCGACGCGATGGTATCTGGCAAATCTTAAAATATGCTGAAATCACAGACTTAATGGCTTTTCTAACATCATTGGGGAAGAGAAAGCACACAGATTCTGTGGCTCAGCGACATTGAAAGAATGGGTAAGGAAGGAAATGTAAGGAAATCCTATCTTGATCAAGTACCGGGCGACGATCTAGTTAACCACGGTACCATTGCAAAGATAGTGTCGCTGGCAGCAAGTTTGGAAGAGATGAGAGCTGATAATTGGCGAAAAACTTGATGATCCGCTGCAAATGGGAAGTATTGTGTCGAAAGCCAAGTCACTCCTGTTACGACACATTCCTAGGGAGTCAGGTGTCTCCGTTATAGTCATTTAACCTACTAACTGATTACTTTAATCGAGTCTTAAAAGCTTGAAAGCAAGAATACTATTTCTATTTACACACTTCCCAAAAAATGTTTCGCATAATTTCATTTGGCAAATTATTATTTAGCGAAAAGTCTTTACACAAAAAATTGTAACGCAAACCTGATGCTTGGGATACAAACGTTTAAACTTTTACTAGATTACCAACTAGTACTTCCAACATTATTTATGTCGTCATATATTTCAGTTGGAATAACAGTATTTACGCAAAATTATGTTACGTAACAGTTTTTACGAAAAATCAAATAAGTCAAATATTGAGTGTCGCCAGATTTCAAGTCATCCTTTCATATTCAGTATTATGCAAAGCACATGCAAGTAAGCATGCAGTGTGCAAGTGGGCATGTAGCAGGCATGCAACATGCATCAACTATTGTAGAACATATGAACCTCCTTTATATTTTCTGTCCGTATACCTATTGGTAGTCATAGTCCGGATCAGGAATTTCGTAATACGAAATTCTAACAAATTCTATATAACGCACGTAAATACATAGTTCTCAGAACATTAAAATTCAATTAATATCAAAGTATTGCTAAACCAGTATTGTTAGGACAATAGAACTTGAATTTTTCATCAAGTCACGTGACTGATAACGCCCCATTGTCTGATAATGCCCATAGTATTGTGAACATTATAGTGAATTTTTACTCAATTCAAAAATTTCTTCCCAATTTTGCACATCATTGCAAAGCAGGTGAAGCTCAGTATCAGTTTGCTGGCATTAATCAACAAACCGTTTTATTTCGAGATAATGTACCTTAAAAGGTATAAAATCTGATCAGGAATATTAAAGAATCAGTACTTTTATAATGTGCATACGTCTCCAAGTATTATTTGAATAGTTGTGAATTGTAACGTTAACACTAATCACTTTGTTAACTAGATTTTTATGGTATTTTTAACCGAGACGTCCCAAGTAAGAGGAGTGTAAATATTTATGTTGCTTTTTCTTTTTTGTATGTACACCAATTACGTCGAGGTTTATGAACCGATTTGAGTGATGCTTTTTTTGTTCGACGCAGAATAGCTGAAATTTGTGCCCTTAAACAAAGAGAACCTAACGGGTTACCGGGGCTCCGGCTCGACGTGCAGGAGAAGGAACGGGGTAGTTTTTCGTCAGTAAGAGTCTGACACTCCCTCCAGCCTCACCCAGGCGGGAGCAGTCATTCGATGATTTTCACCAATTAAAAAAACATTTGTTTTAGATTGGTTCAGTAGTTTTTATTTTATAAGCATTATAAATACTTGAACGATGCCATTTTCACGATACTTCGTAGATTTGTACATCGATTACTGAAACATTTCTGGTCCGAATTGCGGTATTATTTTTTAGTTCGTTGGGGTATACTTTCATGTTGGTACTGTTACCTGATGATGAGATCCTAGACAAATTGAGGGCAACCCTTAAATAATAAGCACTTATTATGTTTATTCAAACAAATTCTTAAAGCCTTTCAACCATTTGTGTCTGATAATCATCATTGCATATCCATGAGCTGATGATGGAAGGTACAATTCTAAGATGGCTAGGAGTTCAAAGAGACTTCTTTTAAAAGTATACCTACATATTAATCGAGAATAGTATTCTTTGAGGCTATTAGGTAGATCTGATTATAGAAGACAAATCTCGTTAGGTTTAGATTTAAATAGATATGGTGAAATTTCACTTGTCCACCACCACAGTTCCAGAGTTGGCAATATTACACTTAAATATGTTAATGCATTTATTTTATTTTTTTAATTCAAATGAATGCATTTTAAGGGTTTAATGCAGACCAAGAATTAAACAGCCTTAGCCTAGAATAACTGATAACAGTTTTTACCTGGTTAAAAAAGAGACGAGGAATGTTTGTATGTTTTTTTTTTGTTAAATTATTATCAAACGTATTAAAGTATTATTAAAGTATTATCAAACTAAAGAAAAAATCCATGAACTTAACAGGTTTATTTTATTTCAGTGATATATGTATATTATACTAAGGAGTAAGATCTATACCATACAAACAATATCAAGATGTTTAATTATAATGTTTTCTTCTTTATGTAGATAGTGAGTAGTTAGGTACTTACACTTCTAAACAGTACCTATTTAAACAGTTGTGAAAGGTAATAATAATTACACTAATCTTTTAGTTTGCTAAACATTGATAATAATTTCTATCCACTACTTTAATTTTTGAATTTTAAGGAATAATAATATAAGTTGACACAACGTTATTTCTTACATATTTATTTATTCTTATTTCTAGTTCTAGAACACAACATTTATTTATCAGCTAAATTAAATAAGATTACAACGGAGTTAATATATGTTGATCTTCAGCTTCATCGGGCCATTGAAAGTTGTTCATCTCACTTGGAACAATTGGAACTGGCAGCTCCGGTAGTGGAAGAAGTGGTTCTATTTGGGCAGGAGCTTGGACTGCGGCTTGGTAGGGTTGTGCCGGGATATTGCTCGGAGGAATATCGGGCTGAGTACCATAGATGCACTGGGAATTTTGAGGTTGTTGTGGCATTAAATTTGGTTTCATCGGCGCAGTTACTTCTGGGTAATTCGGGGCCATGCCCGGGTAGTGCATTATTGGCACTTCATTATTTTCTGAACTGTCACCAGAAGAGCTTTGGCTCTCTACCCTGTCTTTTTTTTCTTTCATTCGCCGATTCTGAAACCAAATTTTAATGGTTCTCTCATTTAGTTGCAACACGTCTGCTAACTGCAGACGTCTAGGTCGAGCCAAAAAAGGAGTTAACTGAAACTCATGTTCTAGCGCCGACAGTTGATCCGTTGTAAACGCTGTTCTTACGCGTTTAGGCTTCCTATACGTGGCTGACAGACCCTGGGGTCTCACTGCTGTCCATCCGGTCGGCTGTCCGTTGTGCCAGATGTGCTGATTTGGCGCAGTCACTTGGACTGACACAGCTGCACTCTGATGCGGCAACCATTGTGAGAACTGTTGACAATAGGAAAAATATATATTACTTGATAATAATCTCCATGCTGGCACTACGTTTGTTACGATTAGACCTTTAATCAGAAGTTGTATGAAAAAAATTAAAGAAAAAATATAATAAAAAGTGATTATATTACCATTGGATCTGCCGACACCGGTGCTGCGAAACCATTGTTTGCATTATGAAACGCTGTTAGTCCGTTTGGCGGGTTCATTTCGTGATAAATATTGACTGGGAAGGAAATACACTGAACGAGAGTAACGTGTTCTGTGAAAGTACAGTTCACTATGATGCCACTCAGGATTGTGCTCTACTTATATTCGCAACCCTTAATGATAGTGTAATTAGGGAACAGGTTAAAGGTTACAAAGTGATTAGCAAATCAAAGGCAGATTTCCATAAATCTTGTTGTTGGTAGATATTTTAGAGGTATTATTATTATTTTGCAAATTATTACATTTTTTTTAAATGTAAATAAAAATTTACTTTTGTTCTTGAGTGGTAGTCAGTCCACGTTAGGCAGAAACGTATCACTTAAGGTTATTAAGTTAAAGACAATATTTTATATTGTTTCTTCTGTAGCCCATTACTACTCCTTCTATTTCATTTTTGTATCTTAACGAGATCTTGGGTCGCAGTAGTAATAGTACTAGAAGTTACAAATATCTTAAAGGATGAGATTACTCAATTAGAAACGATTTTTCCACATACTGATATTGCTTTAAAACTCCGCTATCAAATCTCGTGGGCATTCTGTATAATCCTACTTTCTACTAAAACAATAACACGAAAGTTTGTACGGATGTGTTTTTGTTACTCTTGCAAGAAAGAAAATACTAGATAGATTTGTATAGAATTTGGAACAGTCATAGATTATAGTCAGGAATAACACAAGCAATAACACGGGCGTAGCCGATTGCAGAAGCTAGTATAGAATACTCGTTTTGTTGATAATTTCGAGGTAGCAATGTTTATGTTATGAGCCAAACTTACGTTGCAAAAAGTATGCAGTTGTAGTTCGTTTTGTTACTACTTCTTATATTATAGGAATGAGTAAAATACATTTTGCATACTTATTAGATTGTACAAGATCATTTTATTATCAATTTAATGTACTGTCATCAGTTTATTTCAAACTCCTTAACTGACCTGTTAATTTACCGCTGTTAATAATTTCTTAAAGTAAATATGCTCATTTCAAGCTCGAAAGTATGCTTCAATTGAGCGCTTAATACCGTGTGTGTCGGAATGTTGCTCAAAATTAGCATTCTTATTTCTGAAGTGGCAATGTGGCGTTCGATTTTGAAAATTTTTGAGCATGCTTATTTTATTTATTTATTTATATTTTATTGCACACACAGAAAAAATTGTAAACATTGCAATAGTAATTTGAGTACAATGAGCTTATTAGAACGTCTTTCAGTATGCTGTTTTAGAGCATGTGTCTTGGCACCGTTAGTAGTAACAGATGTTAAGAGTTCAGTTCAGATGTCTTGAATGTGGGTAAAGCAGGAATATAGTTGTTGAATAATATTAGCTTTTGTCCGCATTAAAATTCTTTGCGTACTTTTAAACATCTAAGCTTTAAACACTTTGATATTGATATTCCGGGATGAAATTTTGAGAACCCTGCATCTGTGCAGTAGCAGGAGCTGATATAGATCATGATATAGATATAGACTGTATAGACAGTAGGTTTGGGTGCTGCTAAACAGCAGCATTAAACTAAGTATTGAATAATTCCTTAGAAAGGTGAAATTTAACGAATACTAAACTTGTTTAAAAATTCACTTGAAAAACAACAGGTTGAGTAACCCCATTCCTCCAAAGAGTATTAGTACTTTGGTTATTCAAATACCAAACTTTGTGAGGATTGCATTTGTATAGTTGGTGCAAATGGCTGTTAATACTGTACGTTGGGGTGTTGCTGATTATTGTCATACTTAAAATCCAGCACAAGTTCTTTCAAAGATGAATTCAAATAAATAGTTCCATCACTACTTATTGTACGAACAGCAGAAACAGGATACTGACGTTGTTCCAATGTAATATTTTGTTTTATTGGTGGATTTGTGGTTTCGATAGGGTAGGGTACCATCATCTCTTGTATGTCTTCAGAACCTTCAAGTTTCTCCCTTTTTGCTTTCATGAATCGATGTGGAAAGATGTCCGTTCAGTTGACTGCAGTGTCTCTGCAAGCTCTATTCGTTGAGATCAGAGTAAGTACGGAAACTTTGCGTACTGTCTCTCTAGAACAATCAGTTGTTGAGTAGTAAATCCGGTTCTAACCCGTTTCGGCTTTGTTGGTACGGGTAGAACATTTGGCCGATGAACTACTTGTGTAGGTTGTGTATTCAGCCAAGTCCGGTAGTCGATCAAGCCACTGTGGGGTTGTCTTGGTTGTACTTGGACAGAATTGACAGCCGCTGTTACTGGTGCAGTGGTATGTTATGGAATCTCATAGCCCAAAAACTGCGGAAAGAAGTACATATAGTTTTAAAAGTGCACTGACAAAACTGAGGTTACTATTAGAATAGTCATTAGCAGAGGCAGTTACATAACATTAAGAGAAGGTAAAAAAGAAATGAGAAATTGTAAAAATAAAGGAAAGGGTTTATCAATGTATCAAAACCGTTACTCGCACTATGAAGCGCTGGTGATTGGTTTGGTAGATTCATGTTGTAGCCTTGTATGTTGAAGAATTATGGAGAAACGCGATCTATGAAAGCACAGTCACCTATAACGTTTGACAGGATTGTACTCCAATTTATATAGTCATGCTCTTTAAGTCAAATGTAATTTGTAAACCAGTAATAAAAATTTAGTGATTAGTAAATCGAAATTAATATCATCAAAGATTTTTTATATAATTTTGTTGCCAAATGCTTTTACTTGTCATTAGCAGAAAATGTAACCATAATAATGAATGGCATTTTGAATGAAATGGAATTAAAGTTAAATTCAAACAAATAAAAAATTCAGATTTTTTGTAAACGCTGAGTATAAGTGTTTGCTTAAAAAATCTGCAGTGTATAGATAAATGACACCATATTTTTTTTTTTTTAAGGGGGGAAAATCATCGAATGACTGCTCCCGCCTGGGTGAGGCGGGAGGGAGTGTCAGATTCTTACTGACTAAAAACCACCCCGTTCCTTCTCCTGCACGTCGAGCCGGAGCCCCGGTTACCCGTTAGGTTCTCCGCGACTCAGAATCGGCATCGGCCGTATTGGGCCCCATCTGTGGTGGTCTGATGGCTCTTTGAGGCGCGCGCGGAACGCGACGCGCCGTACGCTTGGGTCTGTTTCTGGTCGGACGGGGAGCCACCCATGCTCGCCGTCCGCAGGCCCGCGCTTACTGTGGCCGGAGATCGTCTCGCGATCCCGACGCCCGGTGTGTCCTTCGCGATGGCTGGGTTGCGAGGAGGCAGCGCTTAGCTGCCTCACGCGTCCCGCCTCCTCCTTAGCTAGCATGACTGCTTCGCAAAAGGAGGAGACGGCATCCCAATCCCCCTCGCTCCGCATCATGGCCTGCACTAGGCCCGGACGCGAGAGGTCGCCATCGCCGATCACTTCCCTGAGGGCACGGCGGTGCTCAGCCCACGCAAGGCATTCTCCCACTGTGTGTTCCACCGTGTCCTCAGGGCGGTCCTCGCAGTGATGACACCCGGGCGTTTCCTCCCGCCCCATCAGACACAGGTTCCTCCCGAAACTTCCATGTCCGGTGAGGACCTGCGTCAGGCGGTAGGTGAGGACGCCGTAGCGTCTCTCAAGCCACTCCTCAAAGAGGGGTCTTACCGCTGCAATGGCAGCGAGCCCAGCCCTCGGTTGCGACAGTCGTTGCTGCCATTCCGCCATGAGATCGTGCCGGAGCTCATCCCGCCACGCACTTATCTGGCGCGGCAGAATGACACCATATTTGTGAGGTCTAAAATCCCATGTATTCCAAACAAATTATTGTGAATCTATAATTACTAATTACATTTCGTTTATAAATTACTCATTGTTTAATGGCTTTCTTTGTCTTTTTAATAATTTAATTCCAAAATACTTTAGGTCATAGAAATTGCTAATGAAATTGTTTATCTACGTACCGGTAAATATTGACAAATATAGCTGTGTGGTATTTTTTAAGGGCAGGAAATCATCAAATGTTTCCTCCTGTCTGGGGGAGGCGAGAGTGAGTGCCAGATTTTTATTGACTTATATACATTACATTTAATTATTTATAATTCCAGAATTCTAAACTTACCTCTCAATATGAGAACGTACGTAGGCTTTGGAGGGCTGATAATAGCAATCGTTTTACGTAAAATATTGATATATTATGTAATATTACTATTATATTGCTATATTTGGCTGAAATTCAGCCAAATATAGTTAAGAATTAAACTGTCAAACACCAAGCGGTCACCGGTGACCGCGACCTATTGTTCTTTAATTGTGTCTATAAAACCGGTACTCGACGAGTTAAGACGTAATATAGGTAAGTAAATTGGAAAAAGCCAGTTGAATGAATGTAACAGATTATAACTTTTAGATCACACGGCGAAGGACTTTTATGGAGCCACGGAAGACTTAACGGGTTACTGCCGCTCTGGCTCTAAGAGCAGGAGTAGGAACGCAGTGGTTTTTCACTAAGAGTCTGAATGTTACACTGTTTTTGTGTCAACCCGGGATTCGAATCTAACATCTACGTAGCCGCTGGCGAACGAGTCTAACAAGCCAACTGTGTCGCGCGTGACAAGGGACACTTATTTTTGATGACGCCAAAAAGAAGACAAGCTAAGTGGAGCTTACGATTAATTGATCTAAGCTTAATGCATACAGCTGACAGAAGTAGATACTCAGGGTCAACATAAATATCTACCTCCTACTATTAAGTTATATTTCATTTTAAGTTGAACTTACATATTTATTTATTTTTTTGCTTTTCACCTCCTGCTTTTAAATTATGCACATGAAAGAAAAAAACATCTTAGGGGAAATTTGACTCAGTTGAAGATAATCTCAGCCACCTTATCAAATTGCATCAACATAACTGGAAGAAAATTTAATGTTTTGTTATGATTTAGTAAATATTTGAGTTTAAGATTTTTTAAACTTAATCCGAAGTATGGATCTGGGCTAATTATTATTAGTCGAAATACGTTAAGTATATAACTAGTTTTTCTAGTACACGTGAACACCATCTTTCCGAATATTAACATACCTACTAAATGAATTGATATACATTTCGAAGTTTAAATGCGGATCGATTAGATGCGTAAGAGTATAAACCCACAGAAATACTTACTATAAGTATATGTACTTAATCTATGGATTTACGTAGGTACTGCTAATTTCAATAATCGGTCTAAGTCACAAATCTCTGGATTGATCGTTATAAAAAAAAACCCTAGAAAACCAATATCAATATTTTTATTCAACCTAAAGCCCTTGGATTAAAATCGGTTATTAGTTTTAGTTGTTAGGTGATATGTTATAATTAGGGATGGCGCCACCTGTCGATGGTAACCGTAAACGGTTTCGTGGCTACCTAAGCGTTGACGATTGTAACCAATTAGGACTATCGTTCTGGTGCTCCTAGATGGCACTAATCCATAAAAGTAATATATCTAAAATATATTTTATCTGCAGTAATCGTTTATGGAATAAGGGCAGGCAAATGAGTATGGTGGATAAGGTATAGATGGTAAGATATTGGCACTGCCCACATGGACACTATAGCCGGCCTCGAGGATACTTACCTATAAAATGTCGTAGTAAGATGAAGAAATAAGGGATTTCGCAAAATCCTTAGGAAAGTACTTAGCGATATCACGAAATCCTGGTAGATTCGAATATTCTTGTGTATAACGTCTTCTAATTATTTAGTAACATTACATTACACTAAATTAAATCTAATAAAATGTCAGAAAAGAATATTAGTGTTAGGAGAAGTTAAGTTGAAAATATAATGATATTTTTAAAGAAAATAGTCGCCAAATTAAGTAGATGAACTTTTGTCGATGTTATACCAAAAATGTTGTTCAAGGAATAGCGTAAGAATAGGGATGATGATAGAGTATGAAAATTAAAAATCTAATTAGTCCGTCAGTGAGGTACCTACCTAATGAAAAAATATTATACACGTATTTTTTATTTTGTGGTATAAGAAAATAATATTTAGATAAAACGAATCAAAGTTTAGGAGTGGGAGGTAGCAACGTCATTTTAGAGTATAAATCGTACTCAAAAGTGACGTCATGCGATATTTCAAATCAATATATCTTCGAAACTATTCGTTTCCGTAAGAAAATAAAAAATACGTGTCTAATGTTTTTAAATAATCTACCAGACGGACATTAAAATAAAAATAAGACATCTACCCCATTGGGACACCCCAACACATTTGGTTAGGTTAGGTTAGAACCTCATTCAAATTCGTAACAAAAATGACCCAGTTGAATGTTATTTTGTGTTTTGACTTTATCCATACACAGTTGAACGTATTTTCTATTTCACTAGATTTACTTTAGTGAAATGACATAAGTCTCTGACTGTTATAAGTATTACTGTTTTGTCATTTCACTAGATACGTACTTATAGTAAGATGACGTAATGAAGAAGAAATTTCGACGTTGTCGGCGTTTCTAATCGACCTACGACATAATAATATGCAGGTATCAATTATAAATGATTCCAAAGACCATAGACAAGAATGATACAAATAGAATATCTACACCTACATTTCATTATTTGTATTTATAAAATTTATATTTGTTATTCATTTAAATAATTCCTTTGTTTTAAATACGATAAAGAAATGATTTTAGGGTTTCATTTAATTAATACGTTCTTAAAATTATATTACGTTTTGTTGTAATCAAAGATAACGATAACTTGTTAATTTTGTTAATTGGCTTTGTTCAAAAATTTTATAAATAAACAAAAATATTTTATGATCATTTCCTTATTTATAATTACATAAACAGTATTTTAAAAATTGTTTCGAATTGTTTGCATACGAAAATGTTGCCTGTGACATTAATAACTAGAATAGAAATTCAACGTATAGTATAAAAAAATAAGACTAAACAATAGAAAAAAACAGTTGTAGTATACACATGTAATGTAAGAAATTAATAATTATACGTTAATATTATTAGTGTCATTTTTAAATATCATAGATAATAAATACTTCTGTAACATAGACGTAATTAACGCACGTCTATTAAGTAATCTATAACGAACTGTATGTCTATAACATACTTTAGGCTTTATTACAAATCATTAGAGTTGAAAATCGATTAAAAATGTTGACAGTTTCATTTAATAATGTCTGTTGATTATTATGATGTTAAGGTAGTTAGCAATTGAATTGTTATTAGGTTTACCCACTAAAGGTCATTCTTAGTTTTAATAGTGTGTGAGTAGGTGCTGTGAGGAATAGATGCAATAAATAGAAACAAATTAAAAATGAATAATTATAATCCATCCAGACAAGATTATATGAAATATATGCACGTGGTAAGTGAGTCATTAATTTACCAAGCCTTATTGATACCAATATTTTAGAGAACACTTCACAACGAAAGTCATTAACTAGTTCAAATTATTATTTTCATATAAAAATGTATTACTTTCCACAGTTTTGTTAAATAACTAACATTTTGACCAATACCATTCATTAGATTCGGGTTTGGTCGTTAGCAAAACATTTCGATAAGACGTAATCATTCTTCAATTTGACGTTAAATGTTCACTTGTTATGATATAGGCAGTAGGGGGGGGGGGGGGTAAGGAAATTTGCACAAACGTCAATTTCAGATTAGATTCCATGCTATTTTCGGAAATGTTAAATAAATAAAAATATGCTGCAAGTTTGTACCAAAGCTCCAGACAAATAACTTATAATTTACATTTTTACAGTTGCCGATGGACACACAGGAAGATAACAGTGAAACTAATCAAATTAATGATATCAACCAAACAAATGGAATCAATCAAAAATATGAAAGCAATCTAAAAAAAGGTAAAAGGTTGCGCAGCGCATTCACGACCGACCAAGTAAATATATTAGAAGCAGAATACAAAAGATTTCCTTATCTTTCAAGTACTAAACGCAGTGAATTATCCACATTGTTAAATGTCCCTGAAAAGTCCCTCAAAATATGGTATCAAAATCGTCGAGTGAAGGAAAAAAAGGAACTCCAAGAATTAACTGAGAGCTTACTAATGAATGAATGTGATCAGTCATCAGTTAATGAAGAACAACGTTCATTACCAGTACTATTAAGTGAAAGTGATTCGGATAGACAAATGGATCAATCTGTTGAATCAGCACCTGCAACATCACATCAGCCATCGGCATCTGCAACAGCACTTCAGCCATCGGCATATGCAACATCACATCAGTCATCGACATCTATAATGTCACATCAGTCATCGGCGGCATCTGCAACATCACATCAGTCATCGGCATTTGCAATATCAAATCAGTCATCGACATCTATAACGTCACATCAGTCATCGGCGGCATCTGCAACATCACATCAGTCATCGGCATCTGCAACGACGACTTCGTTCGCTCAAAATACTGCGACTGAAACTAAAATAAATCATCCTCCTTCCATATTTATCAATACTGACAAATTATCATCACATCCAAAATCATCTGCCGAACTATCAATTGAGCTATTCAAGAAATACAATGAACTCTTATCAAAGTCAATTTACAATGAAGAGCCGAGTCAAAAAGACGAAGATGAAATAAGGGAATGCCGGGAATCATTGAATACGCAACAGTCGCAACTAGAACATCTAGCACAAAACAGAAACACAAATGTACCTGTGGAACTAGATTGGGACATGAATGAACCTGTGACACATACTAGTACAATGAACGAACCTGTAGCACATACTACTAAAATGAACGAACCTGTGGCACATACTAGTAGGATGAACGAACCTGTGGCAGATAGTAGTAGGATGAACGGACCTGTGGCACATACTAGTAGCATGAGTGAACCTGTGGCATATACTAGTCAGAATAACGAACCTGTGGCACATACTAGTGGGATGAACGAACTTGTGGCATATACTAGTAGGATAAATGAACCTTTGGCACATACTTCAAGGCTAAATACACCTGTGGCACATACCAGTAGAGTGAACGGACCCATGGCAGATACTAGTAGGACGTACGAACCTGTGGTACATACTATTAAGATTAACGAACCTGTGGCACATACTGGTAGCATTAACGAACCTGTGTCACACAATAGTACGATTAACCAATCTGTGGCACATACTACTAGGATGAATGCACCTGTGGCACATACTAGTACGAATAACGAATCTGTGGCACATATTAGTAGGATGAACGAACCTGTGGCACATACTAGTAAAATGAACGAACCTGTGGCCTGTACTAGTAGCATAGACAAACCTGTGGCATATACGAGTACGATGAACCAACCTGCGGCACATACTGCTAAGATGAATGCACCTGTGGCACATACTAGTAGGATGAATGGTCCTGTGGTACATACTAGTGGGGTAAATGCACCTGTGGCATATACTAGTAAGAAGAATGCACCTGTGGCACATGCTAGCATGATGAATCCACCTGTGACACATACTAGTAGAATGAATGCACCTGTGACACATACTAGTAGGATGAATGCACCTGTGGCACATACTAGTAGAATGAATGAACCTTTGGCACTTACTTCAAGGCTAAATACACCTGTGGCACATACTAGTGGGATAAATGCACCTGTGGCACATACTAGTAAAATGAATGCACCTGTGACACATACTAGTAGGATGAATGCACCTGTGGCACATACTAGTGGGATAAATGCACCTGTGGCACATATTAGTATAATGAATGCACCTGTGACACATACTAGTAGGATGAATGCACCTGTGGCACATACTAGTAGAATGAATGAACCTTTGGCACATACTTCAAGGCTAAATACACCTGTGGCACATATTAGTGGGATAAATGCACCTGTGGCACATATTAGTATAATGAATGCACCTATGAGACATACTAGTAGGATGAATGCACCTGTGGCACATACTAGTAGAATAAATGAACCTTTGGCACATACTTCAAGGCTAAATACACCTGTGGCACATACTAGTGGGATAAATGCACCTGTGGCACATACTAGTACGAATACTGGACCTGTGGCACATACCAGTAGGATGAACGGTCCTGTGGCACATACTAGTGGGGTAAATACACCTGTAGCATATACTAGTAAGGAGAATGCACCTGTGGCACATGCTAGTACGATGAATGCACCTGTCACACATACTAATAGTATGAATGCATTTGTGGCACATGCAATTGCGATGAATACTCCTGTGGCACATGCTATTGCGATGAATGCTCCTATGGCACATGCTATTGCGATGAATGCTCCTGTGGCACATGCAATTGCGATGAATGCATCTATGGCACATACCAGTACAATGAATGCACCTGTGACACAAAATAGACAAATGAATGCGCCTGGGGCACAAACAAGTAAAAAGAATGAGCCTGTGGCGGTTCCTCAGGCTATGTTGAATAATCCTGGATTTATGTCATCAGTACCAATGGTTCGTCCATTTTATCCGCAGGCCTTCGTTCCTGGTATTTGGAATCCTATGGGAGGAATAATGCCTTTAGGCGTACCGATATCAATACCACCGTCTTTAATGCAACATATGTGTATGCCTTCAGAACTATGTAAGTGTGAATGTCATGAAGAACAAAAATCGACGCCGCAACAGCAAGTTCGCCAAGGTTTGCCACAACAAAATGCACCTTAAGCCTTTGTTTTTCCTGTACCTCTTCAAAAGCCCTAGTACATTCACGATTTTTTTATATTACTGTTAAAATAATTGTCAGATATTTTTTCGTTTCATGTAGACACTCAATTTTAGAATGAACTCTTTGTCGTCCCAGTATAGTCAATCATTAGTTTGTGTTTAAAACCTTTTATGTTTTGTGTTTTTAAGTGACATGTTTAAATATGTTAAGATTATTTCTTATATTTATAATTATAATGAACTAAATGTTGGTAGTTATTTAATAATAATATTTCTATTCTTTGTGAATTTCATTTAAAGTCTATTTATCTATTGCTATTCTAAATTGGGAACAAGCTAATACTCGGGAGCAAATACATCGAGTTCCTTTAGTTTTTTTTTGTCTTTCCATGACTTTGTTTCTTTTCTTTGATTACTTAGGTACATTTTCCAAATTTTGAGTGGATTATTTGCAGTTACGCATAATATTTAATACTTTCTGGGCAACGGGAAATAATTATTAGGATATTTATAACATACATATAGTTAGGAGTGACTTTATTGTTTTATTACCAGGTGTAAATTTTAGAAAGAAAAGGTACTTAATACTTATACAAATTATACAAAATAGTATTCGTTTTATTCAACAAAACTAAAAGTATATTTATAATGAGTGAATGAATATAATAATAATATTGGTTGATGAGTATGAGGTGTTGACGAGTTATTATTTTTTAAATATTGCTCCCACTCAAACACTTTCTTCGGTGTCGTAGACGCCTTTAAAAACATACCTACAAATTCACATACATGTACATCACACTCATTTTCCATGGGTGGATAAAGAGGAGTGCCGTGCTGGAATCCCTCAACACGTAGCGTTGCAATCAGTTGTGCAGCTACTGCGGTGCCTATAGAAGATGGTGGTTTCGTTGCATTAGAAAAGGAGTCATAATTAGAATTTTAAAAAGGTGTCGTAATTATAATCTTACTCTTAAAATATTTATTTGACGACTGGAAATGCGTTTAGTGAATAGTTATTAGAGGATTATTAAATAAAAATCGAAATACTGATCGACATATCTATATTTATCTATATCTATATTTAATTTTAAAATAAAATATACATTTTTTTAAAAACATACTAAATCACTTTCCGTAAATTGCTAATTAAAATCCGACTACACGCGAAGCTGTACAAAATCAATTTATCATGGTCTAGATTCGTATGATATTTTCATACATCCCACGGTCATTTTATAATGGATATTAAAGCTTGATATATTGTAGCCGTGTATTATATACGTCAACTGTTGTAATACTTGACAGCATCTTTTTACCTCTGAACCACTCGTAGACAACAGCCGCAATGCAAATATTAAAACTCTGAAAAGTACCGACGAAATTAGGTTAAAGAAAAAATAAAAGTAAACTTAGATTAGCTTCTGTAAAATTATCGTTGCATTGTCTACACAGGCGTAGCAGGGTCTACGTGGGCGTAGCATCGTCTACGCAAGCGTAGCATGGTTTACACAAGCGTAGCAGGCTTGTATCTTAGTAACCCGCAATTTTTTTTATTGAAATTGGTATTTGCCAGTCCCTTTAAACATATTAAAAAAAATCGGGATTTTTGAGTGACATAATAGTTAAAAGCTTATATAAAAATTACTACTATGGAGTTTTAAACATTTAATTTTTTACGAGGCGTAGACCCATTGTCATTTAATAGCATAAAAAATTGAATATTATACCATAACAGAAAATTTTATATTGAGTACCTGATTCTTAAAGCTTCATTATTAAAAATAGCCATATATAGAGAATTTCTAAAATATTCCACTATGCCACAATATGCCACTTACGTCAGGGCACCTTATTTGTCACTTATCAGAATGCACCTTGCAATAGGACATGTGGTCACTGTCGGGGTATATTTGTGAGTGAAAGTTATTACTGATTGTTGATCTGTTTATGTTTTATTATATTATTAAGTAGTTGCTACATTAATTAGTTAAATGAGGTAACTAATTGAAATAAACTCAACTTGTATTTTCTACAATTATTGACCATCGTGCCTACGCGACCGTGGATTCAGTTTCTGCTGTTGTTAAAAATAGTTAAGAGGCTAATTACGTAACTTAAGACTGAAGGATTCGTAACAAGTCGAGCGTCTGCGTTTCTTATGATCCAACGGGTGCACACGTGACATTTGGAGAAAGAAAGAAGAAAGAAAATGGATTTATTTGGCCATTGGCACACGAAAACAAGGACCATAACAATAGAAATAAAACAAATACAGTCAAAATAAAAAAAACATTAATTATAGATTTTACAAAAGAGAAAGCAGCATAAAGCATTTTTTCTTATGATCCACCGGGTGCTCATAAGGACGCTCGAGGGGTTAAATAGGGACCGTATAAATTAATCGAGTTGGTATAACAACTACCTCGCATTTTTACAGTACTGAGTTATGCAATTTGTTTTAGTAATAGTCGTATTTTAAACGTTACACCTCACTATATTTTGGAACTGTAGATCTACAAAAAATCTATATTCTGTGCCGGAATTGAACCAGCAACACATTGTAGTTAGCAATGGTTATTAATTTGATATGTATAAATAAAAAGCTTGATAAGTCAATTTGGGCTCGCCTTAGTCTACATATTGTTTTACTCGTCTTTAGAAATTAAATGATAGAGGCAGAAATGCTTTGCTTGACGTGTCGTAACGTGCTAAAAGTATATCGGTTTCATATATTAACTATGGTACATTGCCACGACACGTCACACTACTATGTTATACTTCTACCTTTAAGTTGGGTTTATTGTCGTTGAGTTCTGCCGTTACATAGTAGTATTTCAAACCAATACACAAATGAAAAATTATATTAAAAATACATTTTATTAGTTAAGGTTTGTGGACACGTGATGGCTCCTTCAATTATCTAAATAGTCCAGTGCTGGTGAATCACAGACTCGTGGAGTGCTGATGACCTCTGCTACCAGCCCTCGGCAATGTCCCTGGAATTAGACAAATAACCATTAGTGACATGGGTGGGTCATATGGGTGGCTGGCTGTGACATGAAAATTTTACGGCGTCTATTCACATTACATTACGAGAAGCGGACGTCTCAAATCTCCACCGCGACTCAAGCCAGCGTGAGAATTGTAATAATAATACAATATTATTATTACAATTGAAAAACTTACTTTTAGTAATTACGTTATGACTTTAAAATTCATTATGGCAATAATAATATATATTTTTAATTTACTAATACAATCCAATTTCTAAATGAAATTAAAAAAGAAACTACAGTATCGAGTACAGGTATTGGTTTAATTGATAGTATGATAAATAAGGAACAAAGAGGCAGAACAATCAGTTCATTTGTGGTCGGCACGCCATAAATGTACTTTATGTGAACTCATAAGAAATAAAAATTTGTTTAGATGTGTATTTGTAATTTGTGGTTTCAATTGCCCAGTCGCCTACGCAAGTGTATAGGAAGGCCGTTGTAGCTGTAGACGTTATCTAGCTGATGATTATATGCATCAACACATAGTACAAATATCTTTTCTTCACAATACATGTTCACTTCTATTCTATAGAAAATAAAAGAAGTGATATTATGATAAAATTATGTTTTCGCGTCAAATACGTAACAGAGCGCCAAGCACGAATAACTATCGCAATCGTATCGTAACCGTATCGAGCGCGTTAAGCGTTCTGATTGGTTGGTTCACTGGAGCCGGCCAATCAGAGCGCTGAACGCGCTCGATACTATTACGTTACGAATGCGATAGTTATTCGTGCTTGGCACTCAGATCCTAAACAGAACCTAAATGACTACAGGCTCTTCAGTATTGCAAAGAAGAAAGAGTGACTTCAGCTAGCAGTTGGGCACCGCATATTAAAAGTAGTCGTATCACCAATGTAATAATGAGGCATCGAACATACATGGGAATGACAACAGGGTAAGAAAATAAAAATACATATCTACTAGCTGTATCTGCAACATCGTTTGCATTTTTCTAAACTAATAGTAGCCTATGTTACTCCTTAGTACCTGCCAATAAAAGTGCCGTCGAAATCGGTTCAGCCATTTTAAAGATTAGCTGGTACAAACAGGCAAACAAACTGACAGACAAAAATTGTATGTACAATGTGTTATTTTAGTATATTTATCGTAAGTTTAATTGTATAATAACATAAAATAAAAAGCAATTATTTCAATATTACAAACAGATACTCCAATTTTATTTATCTGTATATGTATAGACGCTTCTATATTGTTTTATTTTATTTGTATATTTGGGTGAGTTCTCGGTCGTATCGGTCTGTTGTGTCTGTCGCGTCTGTCGTATTTGTCGTATCGATCGTGTCGGTTGTGTTTATCGTATCAGTCGTGTCTGTCGTGTCGGTCGTATCTGTCGTGTTGGTTGTATCTGTCGTGTCGGTCGTATCTGTCGTGTCGGCCGTGTCTGTCGCGTCTGTTGTATCAGTCGCGATTGTCATGTCAGTCGCGTCGGTCGTATCTGTCGTGTCAGTTGCATCTGTTGTGTCGGTCGTGTCGGTTGCGTCTGTCGTGTCAGTCGTATCTGCCGTGTCGGTTGCGTCTGTCGTATCGGTCGTGTCTATCGCATTTGTTGTGTCGGTTGCGTCTGTCGTGTCAGTCGTATCTGCCGTGTCGGTTGCGTCTGTCGTATCGGTCGTATCATCGTATCTGTCGTGTCGGACGCGTCTGTCGTATTTGTCGTAGCGGTCGTGTCGGCCGTATCAGTCGTGGCTGTCGTGTCGGTCGTATCTGTCGTATCTGTCGTGTCGGTCGTATCTGTCGTATCGGCCGTGTCTGTTTCGTTTGTTGTGTCGGTCGCGATTGTTGTGTCGGTCGCGTCGGTCGTATCTGTCGTGTCGGTCGCGTCTGTAGTATTTGTCGCATCGGTCGTGTTGGTCGTATCTGTCATGTCGGTCGTATCTGCCGTGTCGGTCGCGTCTGTCGTATTTGTCGTATCGGTCGTATCATCGTATCTGTCGTGTCGGACGCGTCTGTCGTAGCGGTCGTGTCGGTCGTATCAGTCGTGTCTGTCGTATCGGTCGTATCTGTCGCGTCTGTTGTGTCGGTCGTCAATTGAATTTATTTTTTAAATATTTTTCTAAAATAAGATATTTTATGACTCGTTGTAGAAAATATTATAATATCATGTCATTTTGTGTAATTTACCCAAACTGTAATTTGTTTAAATTACATGTATTTAATAATAAATTTAATATGTTAATTGACATCTCCACTCTTGCGAAAATCGAAATAATGGTATTTTTGTGATTCACACGATTTCTCCACTTATTTAAGTACAATAAAGCTACATTTAAAAATTCGCTGTCGAAAAAAAAAATTAATAACTTCCAAGTGGAATAGACAAATATAAAGTAATACTTACAGTGATATTTTGATTTCCGATATTCTCAGTGTGTTTTCGAAAATTCTCACTCGCGCGATTTCCAAGATAGACCTGATACCTCATGATAATATCTACGCACACACACATATATAAACCTGGGTGCAAGCTACGGACACTAGGGAATAATTGATCAGAAACTCATGACTGATGCAGTCTATATATAGTAAGCTCAATAATCATTGTTTAATTACGAAATTAAACAAAGGGGATGTTATCACCGTTAGGCACTACGTTAATTTACAAAGTTAATTAACAGCTATTAACTACCAAACTAATTACTTAAGTAATACCAGAATACTGAGAGCTTATGTTTCTGCAGAAAACGTTACGTTGCTTAAAGAATATATGAACTTATCAATTACTTAAATACATAATCGTTTATTATCATACAATGTTGTCCATGAGAACGTGAAGCTTCATACTCTCAAATTACTTCAATCAAATTTCAACTTTAAAACATGAACGTTAAGATGAAAATGTGTAATTACTATAACCATAACATAATATATTTATTTGCTGGTGATTATGGCCCTAAATAAACGCCTGCTCATCACATAAATCATTAACACCTTCAAACAAACACGATTAGCAATTACCAATCAATGTTAGTTTAAAGCCAATACAAAAAAATCTCTATACTTAAATATTATTAATATTAATAATATTTAACTATATATATAATAATAATGTACAATGTAACACCCACTTTTCACTATTTATGTTATGAGTCCTATGTAATAGGAGGTGAGCGTATTGACATATTCCAGGCACAATTCCAGACTCCGTGCTACTACTGAGATTTTTTAAAACCCAATAAAACTTTGCACGTCCCGGGAATCGAACATAATACCCCTTGCCCCACTCCGCCAACGAAGCAGTCACATTTAGATTTACACATTAGTTCACATTAGACATTGAATATTTATAAAATATAAATCAGATCTTTTTAATACGTCTGCTCATTTGCCGGCCTATTCCATTACGAAACAGCCCATTAAATAAATATTTTTTTCCTACCAAACTTATATTGAATATATTATGTATGTACCTAGCAACGGAAAACTTATCCATGTTAAAAAAATGCGATACCAATCTACACGTTAATACAAAGCTGTTGCATGTCAAAACATGTAACAAAATAACTAGAGAATTGTATTACGTACCTGTTTGAAAAGAATAACCTATGGAGTTTCTTGCCCGTTCTTATATCTACACTTTAGAAGGAGCAAATAGCTTCACTTTTAAATGTTTTTTGTTGAAGTTCAAAAGTGCCTTACAGGTCTAAGTAAAGTATATGATTTTGACTTTGAGTATTATAACTATACTGCAATTAATTAACATAACCTAACCAAACTTATCACCCTTATGCAAAACCTGAAATGGACAATTTTTTTTTTTAAGGGTGAAAATCATCGGATAGGCGGGAGGGAGTGTCAGACTCTAATGGACTAAAAACCACCCCGTTCCTTCTCCTGCACGTCGAGCCGGAGCTCCGGTAACCCGTTAGGTTCTCCGCGACTCGAAATCGGTGACATGGACGATGGAGACGTTCCTCACGTCCAAATGTCTTCGTACAAATGATTAATATACACGATAACATTACACTCAAATGTCAATGACATTCGACCGATCAATCGACATTGATATTATTGTGACGTTTAGTACTCTTAACTTGCAACACTGGCGCCACATTGCATCCATATTGGGGGATATTAAATGAACTAAATGGTATTGAATTTGGAATTTTTTATCTGTATTCTGGTCGTTATTTTGGCAGCTATAATTAGATTTTTTTAAATAATTTTATTCATTCATACATAGATAGTCAGTCGAAATCATAGATAATTTGTAATACATTAATAAAGCTATAATTAGAATTATATTGTGTTGCTATTAAATAATATTAAACTGTCAAACACCAAGCGGTCACCGGTGAGCGCGACCTATTGTTCTTTAATTGTGTCTATAAAACCGGTACTCGACGAGTTAATCGTAGATATTTTTTTGGATTGGCTTTAAACTAACATTGAGATTGGTAATTGACAATCGTGTTCGTTTGAAGGTGTTAATGATTTATGTAGTGAGAAGGTGTTTATTTAGGTCCATAATCACCAGCAAATAAATATATTATGTTATGGTTATATAATTAAACATTTTCATCTTTACGTTCATGTTTAAAAAAATAAGTTTATATATTCTTGAAGCAACGAGACGTTCTCTGCCGAATATAGGCTTTGCTCTCAGTATTCTGGTATTATTTAAGTAATTAGTTTAGTAATTAATGGCTGTTAATTAACGTAGTGCCTAACGGTGATAATTTTGTAATTAAACAATGGTTATTGAGCTTACTATATATAGACTGCATCAGTCAGGAGTTTCTGATCAATTATTCCCTAGTGTCCGTAGCTCGCACCCGGGTGTATATGTGTGTGTGTGTAGATATTATCATGAGGTATCAAGTGTATCTTGGAAAACGCGCGAGTGAGAATTTTCGAAAACACACTGAGAATATCGGAAAGGAAAATATCACTGTAAGTATTACTTTATATTTGTCTATTCCACTTGGAAGTTATTCAATTTTTTTTATTGACAGTGAAATTTTTTATTTGTAGCTTTATGGTACTTAAATAAGTACAGAAATCATGTGAATCACAAAAATACCATTATTTCGATTTCCGCAAGAGTAAAGATGTCAATTAACTCGTCGAGTACCGGTTTTATAGACACAATTAAAGAACAATAGGTCGCGGTCACCGGTGACCGCTTGGTGTTTGACAGTTTAATATACATATTATATTTATTAGTCAATACGTGTCATCATCATCAACAGCCTATAAATGCCCACTGCAGTGCTGAGCAAAGCCTCTTCTCACACGGAGAAGGTTTGAGCATTAATCACCACGCTGGCTCAATGTGGGTCGGCGATTTCAAACTTATAATTAGAAATTATAAGTCCAGGTTTCCTCACGATGTTTTTCCTTCACCGTTTGTCAGTGGTGTCTAAATAATCTTAGAAAGTACATATAACTCGGAAAAAGTTACATTGGTATTGCCGTTGGTAGGTTTCGAACCCGCACCCTCATGCATGAGAAGTGGGCGTCTTAAACCTCCGGGATACGTCAATACGTGTAATTTAAACAAATTACAGTTTAGGTAGATTACATAAAAAGACATGTTATTATTATACTTTCTACAACATGAGTTTGCCATCATAAAATATCTTATTTTAGAAAAATATTCAAAACAGAAGTCATTTAATACATTTTTATTTTTATGTTGAAGAGCGTATCATATAGTATTTTACTTATTATCACAGTATATCCGCTATAAGTTGTCTACAGCTGAATATCGATTGTTCAAGTCAAAGAAATAATAACACGGTATGTAGGTACTTATTATAAAAAGGCCATAAGTTCAAATAATACCATAATATCGGCTACCTATAGGACATAATAGTTGCGTCTATAAGGGCCGATTTTTCAATTAACAGATTTCTTAACTGTAGTAAATTTGACATTTGACAGTTTTTAGTTTGGAAGAGTTGTCAAATATTAATTTATTCCTTTGATACAATTTATCTGACTTTGGCAAGATTTGGCCTTTGGCCTATGACATAGGCCACCACAACTTAAGGCCGTCTGGTGGGTCCATAGGCCCTATGGTGTTGCTATTGGTTGTTTGTGGCTATAATAGTTGTGGCTCTTTATAATTATTATGGTGGCCCTGAATTTAAGACTCCTCAAGCACGAGAGTGCGGTTTTGGCATGTACTTATTAATGTGACTAAGTTCATAAAGACAAGTTCGTTATATGTCAATATAGAGAGTATTGACGTACGGTAAAGGAGGCAAACATAGCGAGGAACCTGAACTTATAATTTTTAAAATCATGCGTGGTGATTAATGCTCTTTCTTTCTTTACGTGAGAAAAGGTCTTTTTTTAGCAGTGATACAGTTACAGGCTGATGATGATAACTATGTTATTTTTTTGCTCATTGTACTTATACTCAGCTGAGAATAATGAAGTAGTTAGATCAATTATTGATAGTAAAATATATGAATAAGTGCGATGGAATATTTGAAAACTAAAAATGTTCTACCCGTTTTAAGTTACAGATGGATAATCAAGGGAATCACAAGCAGCATGATGCTAAAAAAAAGGTGAAAAGGTTCCGAAGCGCATTTACAACAGACCAAGTAAACTACCTGGAAAAGAAATACAAAAAATGTCCTTATATCACAAATGATCAGCGCAAAGAAATAGCTACTAAGTTAAATATTACTGAAAGAGCAGTCAAAATATGGTATCAAAATCGGCGAATGAAGGAAAAACGAGAAAATGGTGATCAACACTTTGAAAGTGAACAATATAGACATACAGATTATACTAAATATAGTAAAAGGTTAATAAACAGTGTGATTAAATCTCCAAATCACAACCCAACAGAATCACAAATAGTTACAAATGGGGAAAAAACCGATGGAAATGCAACAACAAATCATTCAA